AATGGCGCTAAAACACGGGAAAATTATGGTTTCGGGGCTGCTAGTGGAGACAGTACTTTGTTAGCCATTGTTAGCGAGCCAGTAACTTTTCCGGAGATATTTAACAGACTTCCATGTGTAAACACCCTGTAAGTATCGTACGTTTCTAATTGCTGAAAGCTTTCAGCAATTAGAAGCGTACGATACTTTTTTATGCGCCCGTGCTCGTTACACTGTAGCTGCCTTCACTATGGTACATAATTGTTGGTTGACGACCAATACGATAGCATAAAGAAACATGAGAACGTAGGAGCAGTTCCAGTTCCAGTCCAAAACGCTGGCATTGATTGGCCGATTGGCTACAGGCCATGTTAATGCTTGCATACCAGCATAATTAAGCTTTAATTGATGGAGTTTGTCTGGAAATAATTAGAGGTCTTGTTATGAATACCGCTGCCTGGAAGAGGTCTGACGTGTAATGCCGCGTTGCGGATGCACGCAAATGGTCACACGGCTGGGGCTCCAGAACTCAAAAAGTTTTTAACATTATCGACTGATGCGACTGAAATTTAGTCACCGCTGGATTGCTCCTGCTCCTGCTGACGTTAGTAATAGGCGATTTGTTGGCTCTTCCCCTCGGTCATTTTGGTTTATAACAAAGCTGTTCAGTGCAAGCACACATATAACAGAGAATTAAGTTTTCACTGCGTAATCTTAACCGGTGAAAAAAGTGTAACATTGCAGGTGGGCTCTGGCGTAGGATGTCGCAGGCCGAGCCACATTCGCACGAAGGCACATTTACAAGGTAACGTCTAGCTCCCTATCTGCATTTCCTCAGAGACGATGACACGACGAACCATGACGATAATTGTCCACCCTTGTCATCCATTCGTTCTGACAGATGTTAAGATATAGGCGAGTGGAACTGTGTAGGTAAAGCCAACCTTAACCGTTACAGGTATCACAGAACAAGCTTTCAGTCAGAACATCATCTCCTTTATACCAAACATTCCATCTTATCTGTCGTACAGCCGTTAGTG